TTTAAAGTGATTCTTTAAATTAATCCATCCTAATATTTCATATAACTTCTCTTTCGATGTACCTTTCATAGCTCCTGAGACAGTTAACGCCGCTTGATACTGTAGACTTTCTAACTTAAAGAGGTTCATCTCTGGAGTCAGTGAGTAAATTATTGAGCCATAATTTAAAATTAATAAAATACAAGACTTATAAATAATCTCAAGAACATTTTTCCGTAGTGTATGTTCATTATGCGGTTTTTCGTTAAAGTTAGGAACACTCACTTTAGTCTATACGATGAAGGATCAGAGACATTCATATTCATTTTACACTGTACACAGATAAAAATATTACGTTATCATCGACGAAGAATGATACTTATTATTGTGCAAATTCCACTTTTTTCTTCTTTGACGGTTGGATAATATTTCATCATTCAAACACTTGTGAAGCATAGACGGTGAATTGATGAAGGAAATGAAATGACGATTTTCGCACATATCTTTTTTGAACAATTTGTCCATTCAATACTTGAAGACATATTCGTCAAAGGCAAGGAAAACAGGTCAAGAAAGAAAAACACAAATGTACCATGCAATGTTGAAAGAACGATGTATCGTACATTTATTGTTTGGCACATTTGTGCTTTTCTTTCTTGACTTGTTTTCCTTGCCTTTGACGAATATGTCTCCAAGTATTGAATGGCCTATATCCGTTCACATAGAGATCACGTGCATAAAGCGAACGGAAAGAGAATTTTTGATCTTAGTGTGAATGCTCTTGTGCAAAGATGCTTAGAATTGATCGGTTAGAAACATGAAGTCAAAAAAACCAATAAATTATGTGAGAAGAAAAAGGAAGATCGGACTTGTTGTCTACCTAATTTCACAAACTACTACTTAAGCACACACACTCATCGAAAAAAAAGCAATCATAATGACTATAAAAAGAAAAAAGTATTGCGATGTGGGGAAGAAGAAAAAAGATTACTTATTACATATAAGTAAGTAGAAGCTTAACAATGAAAACAAACAATCAAACTGTTTCAAGTCATCTACTTATATTTTTCCTGATAATATTGTTAAATCAAAAAGAACGGAAAATGAATCTGTTATCTTGATCTGAAAACGAATAAATGCTTATTAGTCTATATTAGGCATGCAACGGTTACGGTTATTAACCGTTTAACCGTAACCGTTAATAACCGGTCAAACGGTTAACCGTAATCGTAAATAACCGGTCGAACGGTTAACCGTAACCGTAAATAACCGCTTCATAACAGCTTCGTGTACTAGGCATGCAACGGTTACGGTTAACCGTTCGACCGATTATTTACGGTTACGGTTACGGTTAACCGTTCGACCGGTTATTTACGGTTACGGCTAACCGTTCGACCGGTTATTTACGGTTACGGTTAACCGTTCGACCGGTTATGACCGGTTATGACCGGGTTACGGTTATGACCGATTACGGTTAACCGTTCGACCGGTTATTACGGTTACGGTTATGACCGGTTACGGTTAACCGTAACCGGTGCATGCCTAGTCTATATTAATGTAAAAAAACCCAGTAATCAATTATACGACAAACTATGTAAAAAGAGAGTGTAAACCATTCTTAAACCGGTTCATTCTCTCGTATATGCTGTAGTTCATTTGCTGTCGTTTTATTATTGGGTTTAACTAAGTTTAGCTCATGGAACACACGTTCAAAACAATCGTACAAATACAATGAATAAAATGTTGAGCATTGAACAGTTTTATTTATTTTCATTGATGAACGTTTGTATTCAAATATAAATAAATTTTCTTTATTGTCAGAATTTTTTTGTTTTCGGTCAACAATATAATAATTAACAATTTCATTCCATTGAAATGCAGCTATTTGATCTTGTCCTATTTTTTCATCGGTATTACATGCATACATTAATAATTTTCGATGATTAATTGTCATTATTACAGATGCATTTTGTTTTCTTGAACTACATAGACATAATGGAAATGTAACAGAATTGTAATTTTCTGTTTGTTTATGCAAATTTAATCAAATCAATCTGACATAAATTTTCTAATGTTGAACGTTATTGAATAGTTATGTCACTATTTGAATGACTTATCTGATCTAGTGTCTAAATATAAATACTCAAAGATTATTTTAAATTAAAGAACAAACACATAAAACGTTTAACTATACCTCACGATAGAGAAACTTACGGATGAGTGGATGATTTAACAAAATATTTTCAAATGATGGTGAGAATACAAATTTTCTTAAACGAAGACATGTTATATTAGCTGTGCAATGTACGTAAATTTCATGCGGATACTCGTTCGATCGAATTTTACGTTCTAAAATAAAAACAATGCATTATTTGTCTTGAGATGCTTTACACGAATAGAATCAGTTATTTTTATGATACTACTTACCAAAACTATAATCAATTATATATTTCCAATAAGTAAAATAAAGAAACACATTCAGCGGGCAAACCAATTTTTTGTAACATACACTACAAAACAGTAATCCACATTTTTCCAGTCACCGTTTTGTTATCTACGATTGATTTCACCATGTTTTACTCGGACTTTTCTTCGAGAACATAGTGCAATCAAATTTTAATGCGTTCGTCGAGCAGACAATGCTTTTGTCTTGTAATAATCTCTATCTGAAAAGGAAAAAAATCAGTATGAATAGAGAGTCAGGTAGCAAATTCACCTCTGTGCTCCCTTATCGAAATAGGTCTCATTTTCGCTAGTCACAACGTTAAACTATCGGATTTTTGGACAAGTTTTCTTTTGAGATACATCTCTTTCGCAGATTAACTAAGTCCGTATATTTAACAAAAAAAGAATGAAAAACAACAACTTTTGATATAAAAAGGTCACTTAAAAAGGAAGTGTTTCCTAAGGTGGTTGAGATACTGATTTCACCGTGTTTTACCCGGTTTTCTCTTCAGAAACATAATGCAATCAGGGTCAATCATTCACCTCAGACTCACTTTGAAGTTGAAATCAAAACTTGTACACAGTAGTTTTATTAACACGCCCTCTCTTTGTCTAAATTCTTTCTACTTGTCATAAGAATCATATTAATAGTTTTTTCTCATGTATTTGTCAGTCATGGTTTGCCATATAATCACACATTTGATCTTAGAATGAAAGTGAGAGCGGTTAAATGTTTTATAGTTCGCCTGTGAGTTCTACCGTAAGGTAACGTTTGCCATATGTGACGAAAACATTCACGCTTGGACCTTCAGGCCTATATGGGACTGTCAACGAAGAATGTTTCGGAACTCCATAGTAAATGGTTTGGGAAAAGTTGTACATATTCAGCTTTGTTCAGTTTTCAATGCTCTGTCGTCTGGCGCGTCAAATATTTTTTAGTCGCTGTGGCGGAGTGGTTATGTTGTTCGGCACGTACTCAAAAGGTAACATGTTCGAGCCTCGGCGCCACCTCGTTGCGGAGTAACCTTGGGCAAGTTACTAACGGCTCTTTGCCTCGGATCACCTGTCCTTAAGCATGCAGCTACGTTGTGACATACGCCAGCTTTTCGAAGCTTGTATGTGGTTAGCGAGCGTGTCCAGGGAGCTGAAATGAGCTAAAGAACTCTGAGTCAGGCTGGCCTTCTGTCCAGAGCTGCAGCTTTCTCGGTGACTAGGATGAGACAGGTGACTGTCTTTGAAGATCATCAGCTGCAGGGAAGATAGCGGACTTGTGTAACTGCTTCGGCAGCACCCCATACTGCAAGGTAGCCGAAAGGCAGGAGTATTCTTCCTTCCTACCTTCCAAATATTTTTTAAAAAAAACTTCATAGAAACAATTTGTAATGTTTCATTCTTTTTCAACATCTCGGCTAACAAACAATAGCTCTGATAACCTAATTTTTGATTATTACTCAGATCAAAGGACAAATGATTCAGTGCATTTGTCGGCAGTTCATTAACAAAGTAATGGCATATCACTATCGGTTAAATCACGATTGCCAAAGTGCATTTTTCGTTCGGTTTAAATCTGTAATTAATTCTTGCACAGTCAGACTTTTTTCTTCATTAACTCAAGGAGCTGGGATTCAATAGTTATATCAATAAACTTTCTGAGAAATATTGGCAACTACTTATAATATTTTCGGTGGTGTGATTTTTTTTATTCTGAAAGAGTACTGTTACAGGACGGAATTTATTTATAGTAAGGTAAGAGAAGATAAATGGTAGTGGAAAGAACACAGTGGTATTAATTTTCGATCATTTTTTTGCTTGTTTATCTGCTGTTAGGTTAATATTTCTCAAGGGCAAAAAAAAGAAAAGTCACTTATAACTTAATCGACCTCTGCATTCTCCTATTTGCATTCAGAAGAAAACTATACGAATGAATAACACATTATTCTTTTTCTTGAACCGATCCAGAAGCGTATGAAGAGAAAAATCAGAAAGAAAACAAAAAATGTTATTGTTATTAAACGGTTGAAAATAAAAAAATAAAATTATAAACAGCATGCATTCATCTAATTATTCTTCTGCTCAAAAAGTGCACAAAGTAAGTACATTCAAAATACTGATATCAAAGCAGGACAATAGAAAAGACTTAATAAGCTGTTTCTTTACTGATTCAATAGGCTTATAGGTTTTCACCCGCTACAAACATACGTTGTAGCAACATATTTCATATTAGAAGGTACTATATAGTAGCAACGATTGTACTAGTGCGGAAATGAAAATAAGGTCAGAAAATAAAATATTTTGAAAATTCGATTTTTAGCCTTTGACCGTTGTAGATTAAAAGTTTTACAATTCGACCATTTTTAGTCCAAATTCACTCGAATTTCCAGGAGACACTCAAGATAAGTCACAGATACGAGATCGATGCAAGGTTCGAAAAAAGCGGTTGTTAACCTTCGTTACAAAGAAGGTTTTCTAGAAACCTCCTCCAACACGTCAGCAGGTAAGCAGACTTTTGGACCTTATTTTTGACTCGATCTTGTATCTGTGACTTATCTTGAGTGTCTCCTGGAAATTCGAGTGAATTTGGACTAAAAATGGTCGAATTGTAAAACTTTTAATCTACGACGGTCAAAGGCTAAAAATCGAATTTTCAAAATATTTTATTTTCTGACCTTATTTTCATTTCCGCACAGACACAAACATTGCTACGGTAATCAGCATGATCGATAACCCATATTCCACAGGTTTTTAAGGTTCCCAGATGTGTCTACACTGAGATAGGTACCTCCGCGAAAAATGTCTGTATCTTCGGTGCATTGAAAAATGAAGCCCTCGCTTGTCTCCCATCTTTTAGGGCACACTTCGGACTATATATCCATGAAAAAAATTAGTACATTCTTATTAGACTTTCAGGAAATTCAAGCTAGTTTTTCAAAGTTGTGCTGAAAAACCTACTTCGGAAATTTTGTTGAGATTTAATTATGCTTATGAAACATGCGGTCAGGTGTCTAGTACCCAAAACTGGAAACCGTAGGTCTCTGTCTTATTCCTATGAAAAGTTTTTCAAAACGGAACCACTTGCCTTGTTTTCTGGCACCGATAGTTGATATAGTTTATGTTTAAAAGGATGAATCATTTCTGATAGAATTGAAAAGAAATACTTAATGTAGAGAAGCAGAACATATGCAATTTACAGTGATATCGTACTCTGTTCTCATCGTGTGAAAGTTATCATTCTTTGTTCGATAAGAACAAGAAATAGTAACACCTGCTTTTTGAGAAAGGTCGAAACTGGTCGTGGTATCTTCTTTTGATTCCTTCAGAAATGAATTCTGTTTGAGTATCTAGTAACTGCTAAAGCGATTGTAAAATTAACTAAGAATAGCTTTGGTGAACTTTTCGAACTTCTAGCAGAGTTTTTTCGACCTGTACCTACTTTTACAGTCACAGGAAGTAAATATTTGTGAGTGGTGAATTATCGCAGCATTTTTTTCTTGTCACAAAGTTGGCTGACAAAGTTTCAGAGATACATGTATGCCATTTATCTCAAGTCGTCTAAAGAGTCCCTCACCCTCAGCCCAAAGGTCTTCCACAGGCCTTTAGTAATTACGACTCATACAAGGGACCAGGTAGATAAAGGAACACTTTCATGGAACTTTGCTACTGCTATAATTTTTAGAAGTTGCAGAAAATTACCTTGCACGCCGAACCGAATGGTTGATGTGTTATATTGTCGTTGAAAACTTGGATTCACATGTTTTATTTTCTATCTTCTACATAAAAATGGCCGGAACTTAAGAATAAAAATAAAAACCATAAAAAAAAACACATTAGATAACATAGATGTACACACACACAAACATAGGGTATGGAAAAAATCATTTTTGTGACAATTCCGGAAGAATATCTTTTTCCCAAACACATTTCAGTTGATTTTTATCTTCTTCATTGAAAGCAATATCAGCATTCATAAATGCAATAAAATCTTTTAATTCTAAACCAAAATCAGCGTTTTTGAATTGTTTAATAGAATCATGTTGAGATAGATTACGCTCATTCGCAATAACAAGAAATTTTGATAAATAATCCGATTCCATTGCGTAATGTTTTGATGTGTCTTCATAAACTGTAAGAAGATTTTAAATTTCATCGTATCGATATTGAGAAAAACGATTGATAATAGCCGATGGCGTTTTAAGATCTCTAACTGCTGTTGAAAGTTGAATATCAAACAATAAACGCGATGGAACATTTAACGAAACGCATTTCTTTATCATCAATGACTTTAGTTGACTAAATAATAGAGCCGTATCAAATAAGGATACTTCTATCTTTTCACGTTTAGGCAAATGTGAGCAAATGTCTATAGAGCGTGTTCTGATATATCGTGTTCTTTGTTCTGTGTAGTAAAGATATTCCTCGCTCGTCGTCAAAGAAAACAGAACGAAAAAAAGAAAACGAAACAGAACGAAAAAAAGAAAACGAAACAGAACGAAAAATTCTTCATTCTCTTGCGTGTTGTATGTGAGAGTAGTTCAACCAACCACATTCATCTATGACTCATATCTGTAGCAAGTAAATTTACTGTTTTTGGCAGTTAAACGCAACGCATTCTTCAAGAAGTTAAATAGTGTACTTGTATTTATAACACAATTTACAGTAGAAAAATGTGAGATCGAATATTTGCTAGATAAGCAGCACATAAACTAACAGCACCCCAAAGTGAATGATGGTCTCTGTAAACACTGTTTACAGCCTTGAAGATTTTTATTTCTTTGATTAAATGCTCGACGTATATTCTTTTTTGTGACAGGTGATAGTTGAACACGTTTTTGTATGCTGCTGGAATTTGTCTGATTTCATTTCTCCGCACAGGAGTAAGTAAATTTCCACCATTAGCAAACCCTTTGTCGGCGAGTAGACGGGTATGTGGTGGAATTGGTGGGATCCCAGCATTTCGAAGCATTAAGCTATCATGTACTCTACCAATATAACATGATTTAAAAAAAATAATTTTTCTTCTGGTTGATATGATGATGATAGTACCAAAACAATGTTGTTTGTTCTTGCCGCTGTAAAATTGTCTCTGATTCCTCCCTAGAAATGAGAATGAGAGAAAAATAAGTGATAATCAGCATTATTTGTTTGTTTATTTCTAGACTGT